GTTAAGTACTTTTCGAGTTAAGAGGCTTCAAAGTTACGCTCTTTAGCATTAGCGCGCGTGGATACCGTAGTGACGAGCACGAACGCGCGCTCGTATTAATAGTAAATAGCGTAAGGCTGATGGCCTAAAAAACGTAAACGCAAGGGCAGCTCTCGTTTACCGCGCTTGTGTTTACGTTTTTCTCTGCCTTAGCTTACCTTAATCGGCCGGATATGATTTTCCTCTTGCCTTAATCGGCCGCGCGCTAATGCTAAAGAGCGTAACTTTGAAGCTAATGCTAAAGAGCGTAACTTTGAAAACTCAGACAGGCCATGAGTCATCAATCGAAATAGATGTAATCGGAAGAAGCAATATCTGGAGAATACGGCGGGTGTGGTAGGACACCCCAGTTAAGCGCTTCTAACGTTTCCTTGACCGGTTTCGCAACATGTGGCCGAACGTTGTCGTGCTGGAAAATCATTTTGTCGTATCTTCTCACGTAATCTAGCCGTTTTTGCTTCAATGCTCGGCTCAATTGCATCAATTGTTGTTGGTAGCGTTCCCCAGTGATGGTTTCGTTGGGTTGGAGCAGCTCATAATACACTACACCCAGCTGATCCCACCAAATACAGAGCATGAGGTTGACGCCATGAATATTCGGCTCTGCCGTCGATGTTGATGGTTCGCCTGGTTTTTTGCGTTTCTTATCGTAGAGTATCCATTTTTCATCACCCGTCACGATACGATGCAAAAAACTTTTTTTTCTGTGTCTTTGAAGCAACAATTCACAGGTCATTTTGCACCTTTCGACGTCCCTCGACTTCAACTCGTACGGTACCCAATTTCCTTGCTTTTAAATCATTCCAATTTTTAATGTATGAAGAAAATGATTTTATAAACGTTTATAAAAACGTTAAAATAATGGAATAAGTTCTTTTTTTCATTACAAAAACGTTTATTTTAATGTTTGAAATATCGTTTTATTTACGTTATAAGAACATTTCTTTAACATTTGAAGAAAATAATTTTTAAACATTTTTATATTGTTCAAAAAACATTTCTTTTAACATTAAAATAAATGTATTTTAATAAAAACCTTCAAACGTCTGGACATCGTTGATCAATCAACATTTAATGATTCTGCAAGTTCTTCTTGCGTTTGACTCGGTTCTTGATCGAGTAAAGCTTCCACTTCCTCATCTTCAAACTTTTTTGGCTGGCCTGGACGTTCCTTGTCTTCCGTGTCAAAATCACCTTTTTTATAACGTTGAAACCAGTATTCACATGTTGAAATCGATGGAATATAATCACCATAAGTTTCCGACAACATTCGGACTTTCAGCAGCATTTCTCTTCAAATGGAAGCAAAAAAGCAAAGTTTCCCGCAAATTGCGTTTTGTTGGCACAAAATTCGATATATTCAATGCTCAAAAAAACAACTTCGGTTTACACAACTGTTTACACTTCGGCAAAATGACACGTACTGAAAACTAAAGCCACATGATGGTGCTTTGACATGAACGTAGTAACAATATGGCCCGATACGATATAGTACTAGTTACGCCGTCTCTTGAAAATCCTTTAAAATTAATGCATACTCCCAATACATGTTTCTTCAATCAGGAAAAAAATATTTAAAAAATGTTTTAAAATCATTTAAAAACATTTTTAAAAACATTAAAAATAATTGGATAATTCCCATTTTTTTTTATTAAAATACGTTTATTTTAATGTTAAAAATAATGTTTCTTGAACGATATACTAAAAATGTTTAAAAATCATTTTCTTCAAATGTTAAAAAAAATGTTATTATAACGTAAATAAAACGTTATTTCAAACATTAAAATAAATGTTTTTGTAATGAGAAAAAAGAACATCCCGTTATTTTAACGTTTTTATAAACGTTTATAAAAACGTTTCAAAATCATTTTCTTCATGTTAAAAAAATGTTTCTATAACGTTAAAAAAACATTATTTCAAACATTAAAATAAACATTTTTATAATGAAAAAGGGAACTTATTTATTCTTATTGTTTCATAAAAAAACTAATTCCTAATTTTCTCATGTCTTATAACTGCGAGAAACCGAAGGTTGTCAAACACACTCTAAAACTTTCGCAAATCCTCCCTCGATAATTTCGAATCCGAGGCGGTATGCCGGCCACCCACCCACCCACCCATCCATCCTGACTGCGTTGCTTAACCTAACGATCAAGCGGCACGTGGTGACTCCAATGATTCCAACGATGTTCTTACAATTTATGCTTATAAAATGTATACTTGCAGTGTTCACAGTTATAACGTATCTAGCAAATACACGCGTTGATTCCCCTATCTATTTTATTTAATATCACTAAAGTTTAAAATAATATTATTTTAAAAAATTAAATGTTTACCTAAATTAACTTAGAAGAACATTTAAAAAATGTTAAAAATAATAGAATAATTCCTCTTTTTCATTAGAAAAACATTTAATTTTTAAAATAATGTTTTTTTAACTTTATAAGATTTGTTTACAATTCATTTCTTTCGCATTAACAAAAACATTTTTATAACGTTACAAAACATTATATATAACAAAACATTATTTCAAATATAACAAATGTTTTTTTTAATAAAGAAATGAGGTTTAACCAATTCTTATTAAATAATATTAAAACATTTTAACTGTCTGTTTAAAATCTTTTTTCTTGATGCTTTTGTTGACGATCTAAAATTAATCGCAATTTTAATCCCATTTTTTATATTTCCAATGCTTCCAAAATTTTAATTCTCATTTACCTAATCAGGAACCAATATTTTAAAAATGTTTCTAAAATTTTATTTTTTTCATTCATTATTTTCTCAAATCATTCTCAAAAAAATTTTGTTGAATATTTTTTTGCTAATATATAGTAAATATTGCTTTACATTAAATATTCACATAGAATAATAATTTTAAAATATTTTTAAAATATTTTTAAAATATCATGAAAAGATTAGAAAAATGTTTACAATTATTATTTCTGACAAATAATTAATGTATACTAAATATTTAAGAGTCTTTAAAAAATGTTTAAAAAATATTTATTAAATTGTTATATAAAACGAATAATAAATATAAAATAAACGTTTTAAAAACGTTACAGAAACGTTTAAAAAATGTTAACTGAAATTATTATTTTTAACAAATAATTAATCTAAAATATTTTAAAAATGTTTAAACAATGTTTGAAAAATATTTATGAAAATCATAATGTCAAACAAATAATAAATACAAAATAAAAATTTTTATAATGTTTATACAATATTTAATAAAGTCATTATATAAACCAAATAATAAATATAAAATAAACATTTTAAAAACGTTACAGAAATGTTTAAAAAATGTTAACTGAAATTATTATTTTCAACGAATAATTAATGTAAAATAAATATTTTAATAATGTTTAAAATATGTTTGAAAAATATTTATGAAAATCATTATGTCAAACAAATAATAAATGTAAAATAAATAAAAAAAAATATTTTAAAAATGTTACAGAAACATATAAAATGTTTACAAAAATAATTGTTTCAAACGAATAATCAATGAAAAATAAACAATTAAAAATGTTACAAAAACGTTTAAAAAATATTTATTGAAGTCACATTATTCCAAACGAAAATAATTAATGTAAAATAAATATTTAAAAAATCTTTAAAAAATTTTTCAAAAATATTTATTGCAATCATTACGTCGAACGAATAATTAATATAAAATATACATTTTAAAAACGTTACAAAAACGTTTAAAAAAAGTTGACTAAAATCATTATTTTCAACAAATAATTAATGTAAAATATATTTTTAATAAATGTTACAGAAACGTTTAAAAATGTTTATTGAAATCATTATTTCAAACGAATAATTAATGTAAAATATATTTTTAATAAATGTTACAGAAACGTTTAAAAATGTTTATTGAAATCATTATTTCAAACGAATAATTAATGTAAATAAATATTTAAAAAGTACTAAAGGAATATTTAAAAAATATTTATGAAAATCATTATGTCAAACGAATATAAAATGTAAAAAAATATTTTAAAAATGTTACAGAACGTGTGTGTGTGTGTGTGTGTGTGTGTGTGTGTATGTGCGTGTGCGCGCGCGCGTGTGTGTGTGTGTGTGTGTGTGTGTGTGTGTGTGT